TATTTATTTATTTATTTATTTATTTATTTATTTATTTATTTATTTATTTGCTCAGAGGTGATTTGATGAAACCTTTAGATTTTGTTTCAGCAGCTGAGAAGAAAGACTGCTGAGGCTCATGAGTAATGTAGTTTACAACATGACAGATCAAAGAGAACAAGTGTCCTCGTTACGACAACAAACAAACAAACAAACAAACAAACAAACAAACAGTTTTACAGAAGCAGCAAAACTAAAGAAGTGATTAAAAGAGAAGAAAATGTGAGCCCTCCTCCTGCTCCTGCTCCTCCTGCTCCTCCTCTCACTCCCTCAGGTACTCCAGGATCTGATCCATCAGTACCTGGGGGTCAAAGGTCGGGGCAGCTCTCCTGCGGCGCCTGCGGCTCCCATGATTCAGTTCTGCTGCGTCAGCGGTTGCCATGGTGTCGATGCGTTTCATCCTCTGCAGCGCGGTGACTTGTGGGCGGAGCTTCTCCTCCTCCTCCTCTTCATCCTCCAGTCGTTTCACCCGGAGGAGGCTCGGCTGGTTGTTAGGTGACGGAGGAGCAGACGTGTCATCCAGGGAGCGGCGCGTTCGCCTGTGGGCGGAGCTTCCAGAGTCAGCTGCTTTGACTGACAGGTCCCTCCTGGTTCTGATAGGTTGGGCCTCATTGGGCCCGATGCTGGACAGAACCTTAGTGATCATCCTCCTGCAGATGGAACAGATGGTGAGAAGTGGGAATGTGGGCYGGGRCTCTTCTGATTGGATGGCGGTGGTAATTCAACCTGTGTCTCACCTGAGGGTGTCCTGGTCTCGGGTGGGTTCTGAAGGGGCTCGACCCACCTGTCTCGCTCTCTGCAGAAGGCTCTGGACCAGCCGAGGGTCCAGCCTGATGACCGGAAGCCTTGGATTAATTTTCACGTGTTCTTCATCACCTGAGTAAGAATGAGGAGCAGCTCACCTGTCCAGCAGCACCTGGGCCATCTGTGGCTCCACCAGGCCCCACCTGGCAGCTGAGGGCCGCCCCATGCTCATCCCCCTCCCTGTCTCATCGTAGTCCACCCCTGCAGGACCCTGGAAGTCCTGAGGAGGCTCCTGGTCCTCTTCATCCTCCTCCTCCACAACCTCCACGTCAGCCGGACCCACCAATCCTGTGCTCTCTGCCTCGCTCAGGAGGCGGAGCAATGCGGCCAGGTAAGCTGTGGACAGGTGATTGGCTGATAAACAACGAGCTCATGGTGACGAACCAGAGAACAGCTGTTTGTTTTGTTAATAGCACAAAGAAAATACACAATTTATATCAGAATGATGTAATTTACCTGCTCGCTGCTCCTCCCTCTGCTCCCGCCTCTCCTCTCTTTCCACCAATCGCTGCAGAGCCGTATCGATGCCTCGCCCCCTCCAGTCCTCTGATTGGTAGTAGAGGTCGTTGGCCCCGCCCCCAGGTTGCAGAGAAGAGTATGACATCACCTGGTCCTCATAGGGCAACTGCTCACCAAGCTCCCTGCGCTGGCGTCTGACTCCGCCCACTGACACGTCCTGGCCACGCCCACCCTCACGGGCTGCAGGTAGAGTCTGAGAGGGAAAGGTCAAAGGTCAGAGGAACAGATGAGTAACATTCTACAGTTCTTCAGTCAGTGTGGGACCACCCAGAGCAGCTCCTACCCCCGTTAGCTCTTCTCCAGCAGTCTGGGACCCCAGGCCGGCTGTTCCAGACCCGTCACCCAGCCGAGACCCTAGGCTGGTTGTTCCAGACCCATCACCCAGCCGAGACCCTAGGCTGGNGACCCATCACCCAGCCGAGACCCTAGGCTGGTTGTTCCAGACCCATCACCCAGCCGAGACCCCAGGCTGGTTGTTCCAGACCCATCACCCAGCCGGGACCCCAGGCCGGCTGTTCCAGACCCATCACCCAGCCGGGACCCCAGGCNGGCTGTTCCAGACCCATCACCCAGCCGGGACCCCAGGCTGGCTGTTCCAGACCCATCACCCAGCCGGGACCCCAGGCTGGCTGACGGTTCAGAGTAAGCCCAAGTCCCCAGCTCACCACTGACCAGTTCACGTTTCAAACCCATTCCTCCCACTCAGCGACACACCTGCTGAGAAACTGACCCTGGTTATCAGCAGCTCCATAGTCCCAAACGTGGCACAAGGGACTCCAGAGACCATGTGTTCATTCTGGGCGCCAGAGCAGGCGACACTAACCCCTAACCAAACCCTACCTGAAACTGCTGACTAAGGCTAATGCTAAGTACTCTAAGATTGTGATTCATATCGGTGGTAATGACACTAGGTTACGTCAATCAGAGTTCATTAAAATTAACGTTGCTTCGGTCTGTAACGTCTCAAAGACTCTGTCAGACTCTGTAGTTTTCTCTGGTCCCCTCCCCAACCTGACCAGTGATGATATGTTTAGTCGCATGTCATTATTTAACTCTGGGTTTCCAGTTGGTGTTCTTAAAACAACATTGGCTACATCAAGCTAGGTTTATGGTCGACGCGTCGTGGTGGGCGAGAGGGTGCGTGCGCCATAGGTGACGCAATACATGACGCGCAGGGACGGCCCTGCACGTTGGCCCCGTGCGCTGTCCTGTCGCGAGGTCGTGCACCTCCTGATTTTTGAAACTGTGCAAGGACTGCGTGCCGTGGACATCAACAAACAAGAGTGAGTTCCTTTATAGTTGTAGAAGTCACTCCCTGCATTTGGTGGTGCTTTCATCTGCACGTTTGCCATCAGTGCAGCCCAAATGGTTCGGAAAGTTTCATACTCTCCAGAACTCGTGATATTTCTGCCTACTCTGGACCTTTCGGCATAGAAACAAAGTCTGTCTTCAGGGCCTTCCAGATGGCCTGGCAAACCTCAGAGACAATGGAGGACACTGTAGCCCAATTTGTAGCTGGCTGCTACGCTTCTCTGACTGCTGCCTGAAACTACGGTTCATAAAGTATCAGCCAAATGCTCAGGCAAAGTCACTGGACTGCTGTGGTTCCTTCCACGTCGGATGAATGGTGAAATGAGATGCAGCAGGTCATCAAAACAACGTGGAGACGTGCAAAAGTAACCAAAGTGCATTTCTTCGTCCATAGGCCGTGTTGGTTTCACAAGCAAGCTATATTCACCATCAGCGCGTCTACGGCAATGCAGTGGACGAACACACCATCTCCTTCTGCGTCGTCGTCTCAATAACAGCAATAGATATATTTGTTGCTCTATTATAGTCTGTTCCTCTAACGACAACTGTTCTTCTTGTGACAGAGCAACCATCTTTTCTATTGTGTGARGTCAAACATTTCTTCTTCTACACCCGTTTTTCACAACCTAAATGCTGGTTAGATAGTGTACTGCCRCCTGTTGGTCATGGAAGAACAGCACTTTGATGCACGTCAACTGTAATTTGAGACGACGCACGGCCGAGTGCACGRGCGCTCCGCGCCCACTTCACACGCGTTCCAGAACGTGACTATGGACGTGTTTCCATTAGAAATGTGCGCAAAACTTTGTTGATATCTGTTAATGTGGAAAAACACAGTTTCACAACTGCAGTGTTTCCATTAAGTAATAGATGTTATTAAAGTCACGTGAATACGTTTGTTCTCATGATAAGTCATTACAAACATGGTGGTGATGGATGTAAACACATAGCATGTTGCTACCACGACACTAGCGCTCATCATCAGAGG